TGGATGATCTGATAATGAAAGTGAAGTCATATGACAGCAGCACATGTCTCCCCATTACAACACAGTTCTAAGACACGTGAAACGCGTTCTATGATGTATGATGTTGGATGTATTGTTTATAATATACGACATAGTATGGTCTATGATATACGATCTATGATCCACGATGCAGGCGATATATAATCTAACACATGTAAGAAATGATCTGTAACATTAAACCATCTGATATTTAATGTATGGTCTTATACTAAATGATGCATGATCTATGATCTATGATATATGAGATATAATCTATGATTTATGATAATATGTGGTATATGATGTATGATGTATGATATATGATCTATGATATATGTATGATATATGTATGATATATGGTCTATGATATATGATCTATGCCTTACGATATATGATCTATGGTATATGAAATATGATATATGATTGAGGATTTATAGTCTATGATATATGATCTATGATCTATGATATATGATCTATGACATATGATATATGATATATGATCTATGATCTATGATCTATGATATATGATACATGATGTATGATCTATGATATATGATCTATGATGGGACCCTAATAACATATACGGTACACCTTCACAATATTCGGCACCAATTTAACACAAAATTTGAGTGAAATTTGACTAAGTTCAATTTCGTGTTTTTATAAAAAAATGTCAGTTTTAACGAAATGTCAGTTGTGTGTGTGTGTGTGTGTGTGTGTGTGTGCCCTCGCTCTCCCTGTCCCTCTATGAGCCTCCCTGCTCAGCCTTTGCCCCGTCATACATTTCATATGTCAACTAAGGACTACGGATTGCTTATCAACACTTCTTGGGCGAACTGTCCAGCCACATCGGCTGTGTGTCATAGTTTGTCAGTTCGTAGCCCCGTCTTCTTGCGAAGTACCACCTCTCTGCGTGCCACGACGCCAAGTTTAGGGCAGTCAGCGGCAATGGCGAGCACAGCCGATTCCGGGGGGGAGTGTCTGCAAGTCGTTGTCTTGGCTGATAGCCGAGAGAGATTGTCAGTGGAAAGGGCGCTCGACCGGGCTGAACACTGTCAGGAAGAAGGGGTGTAGACATGGTACGTATGCCAGATGGAGGAAGACTAGGTCGTCGCCATGCTCCACATTCGTCTACTAGAATGACAAATCTTGCACGCTTGCATAGAGGTGAAAGCCATCCGTATAGGATCATACTTGAAGGGCGAGCGCTGGGGGTCAACGAAGGGCAAAGCCGTTAGAGTGCTGGCCGCAGCAGTGGCAGAAAGAGAGGCCTGGCAAAGCCTTCTTGCACACCGGTTGGTGTCCATTCACTACGACTTCGAAGATGCGTTCGACATCGACATTAGAAAGCAGGACGTGCCTTACAAAGCACGTGATCCTGCTAACTGGCTCATTGAGCGCACTGTCGGCTAACACTGCGGGAGGGAAAAGGTGTGAGGACAGGCAGGTCCAACCTGCAGGGATGGGCGATACAGGGAGGCTAACCGAATAAAAAATAATTAAAAGCATATGTTTTTCCAGCAATTAACACATTTGTTTTTCCAGCCGATTCCGAATAAAAAATAATTAAAAGCGTATGTTTTCCCAGCAATTGACACATTTGTAAGGATGTCTAAAACATGTGACATTCCATGTTTATGATTGTCGGTTCTTGCACATTTTGACATTGTTGTTGTATGCCTGACAGGGGTGATCACCATGACCAACCCGCATGGCGGACACATGCCTTAAGTTCAAAGGACGTCGAAACAACGACGAAAGCACCGTTCAATGAATTGCGAAATGGCATCCAATGATCTCTCTCTCTCTCTCTCTCTCTCCCTCTCTCTCTCTCTCTCTCTCTCTCTCTCTCATGACCGGTTACAGAACGACAAAAACTGCGCCACACGTCAACTGTCGAGCACCCTATCTAAAAACTTTGGCTACGTGGTCCGAATGTGCATGTATAGCCTGCCTCAAACACTCTGCTACGCGCTGGCGTTCACGATGGCTCGCATAGATGACAGAACCCTCACAGCGTAACAACGCCTCCTCGAAGTCGAATTCCGCATCCGGTGGGTCGTCGTCACCACTGCTGTCGTCGGATTCCGGTGCGTCGTCGTCGCCATTGCTTTCTTCCTTTTCATCTGCTTGTCTCCGTAGTAGCTCCTCGTCCACGGGAATCCCCTCGTCGATGATGATGTTGTGGAGAATGCAGCACGCAAGAAATTGTTTGCAAACATTTCGCATGTTTGCAATGTGTTTGCGACCAAAGCACCTCCACGTTCCCTTCAACCGCCCAAAGCCGTACTCCGCAAGCAAGGTCGTCGATACGTCCTCCGTACACCGGACAGCACTATGCAATCCCATCCCGAAGTCGTTGCCGCATTGGCTGTAATACCCGCCTGTTGCCCAACGGTAAAGGGCGAAAGCGAACTTCATAGACACCGGCAGTGCTTGCCTCCACGGAGTGTTTAACCTTTGGATTCGAGGAGAGATTTGATGGAGAATTCGTTGGAAGACTGGCCTACTCAAGCGTGTGTACTCTCTGAACTTTTTGTTGTGCTCAGGACCCACCATTTTTAGCTCTTCCCACGTACCGCCGGCTCTTTGCCTCACCCAGAACCGCCGCCGTCGAGAACGTGGCAATGGTGGCAGGCCAAGAATGGCGCGCCTCGCAAGCGACACGTGCGCAAGGAGCAAGAGAATGGCTGTCATCCTCCTCATCATGATGACCTGCGTCATGCATTGCATAAAGAAAATGACACACATAACTGTCATCTGTTCCCTCACCCTCATCCAACGAATTATCGCAAGAACAACGAGAGCAATCTGTTGGGGTGTCATTATGAAGACAGCGTGGAACCCAACAAAGGAGGGTGGCAACCCCCCAATGAGAGAGAGAGAGAGAGAGAGAGAGAGAGAGAGAGAGAGAGAGAGAGAGAGAGAGAGAGAGAGAG